ACACACACACAGATACACACACACACAGACAGACAGACAGACAGACACACACACACACACACACACACACAGATACACACACAGACACACACACACAATAATACCACAGCTGTACCTGTCCAAGAGAGAGCGGCACTGCGTCTTGTGTGTGTGTGCGGCCGATCTTAATGATGTCTTTGAACTGTTCAGCTTTGGCAGCGAGAGCGTCATGCAGCGTCTGAAGACCCGGCAGAAGAACCTCATGCACCTCTTTAGCAGCAGCGATGTGCATGGCAGTGGGGAACGTGTCATTAGAGCTCTGCAACACATGCAACAGAACAAGCGAGCTGGATTTATTCAGTTATTACCTATACAGCAGACTGATTTAGTCTAGAAACCAAAGAAAAATATATGCATGTTTGTTGAAAGGTTTAATGCACTTCCACCAAACACATCTTGAGGATGAACTCAAACAGCACGATTTATATTAATTACACATGAGAGTGATTAAGAAATATGGATTAATTTGAAAATACAGAGCAAGACGTGAACCAAATATGTCAAGATGAGAAATTATTTGGTATTAAGGGTGTTTGTTATTTAATATTTATTAGTATTAAGGGGTGTAATGAAGCAAAATTAATTTGTAAAGTATTTAATTCACTGAGCTATACAAAAAGAGGCATCATCACTTTTTTTAAATATATTATTACAGTATTTCAGTTTCCATCAAAAATAACTACTTGTGAGATTATAAAAATAAACAAATAAATAACAAAATAAACAGGCCTAATATTTTTTATTAAAAATAAATGTTTAAACATTTTTAAAAATAAAACCATAAAAAATATTTCAATTTACATAAAAAACAACTACTTAAAGATAAAAATAAATAATAAAAAAAATCATTTTAATGTTTAAAAAATAAAACCATAAAAACACAATTAATTAATTAATTAAAAATAACTAAAAAATTTTAAATAAATACCAATATAAATAAATAAAAGATATCAAACGAAATACATAAAATTATAAACAAATAAATTAATATAAATAAATAAATACAAAAAATAACTACACATAGACATCATGGAATAAGTATATGTATTAATTTTTACATTTTAAACGTTAAATTTACTCAAAGCAACTTAAGATTTAGATCCATATGACCCAAATGGATCTGTGGTTTATTGCTCGTTGATGTGTGTGTGTGTGTGTGTGCGTGTGTGTCTGTATGCGTGCGTGCGTGTGTGTGTGTGTGTGTGCGTGTGTGTGTGTGTGTGTGTGTGTGTTGCGTTCCGGATCCTGTTTGCCAAACCACCAGCGGGAAATGATCCTCCAGCTTCCCAGCAGCCACCTGGCAACGAAAACACACAGCAAAGACAGAACACAGATCAATGTGCTCTCAGTGAAATCAAGCGAAAATACGATGCGTGTCATTCTGTGATTGAAGAAATGCTTGCTGTGTGAATCTCATGACCAGAGACACTACTATAGTTGTATTAATATTTTGAATAAGCTGAAAATTTTCCTGTATCATTTTAACTTTAAAGTTTTAGTAAATATGTTGTGTGTTTTTGTAAATTTTATTATTTTTATTTTTCGTCTGTAGTTTATTTTTATTTTTTATATCAGATTGAGTTTTAGTTATTTTAGTGCATCATTAAACTAAATGAAAAAATTTTTTTTTTCATATTTTATTTAACTTTTATTTTAATTCAAGTAACCAAAATTTTAGGAAATTTAGTAAATGGAAGTTAATTTTTAGTTGTACTTTATACAGTACAAGTGCCTGTATTGATGTTATGAGATGAAATCACCTCATCAGCAGCTTTTATGACGGCGTCTGCGATCTTTGGGTCCAAACCGTAATCTTTATTCACGTCTGCAGCAGCTTTCTTCAGGATCCCAAAGGCTTTGATGACTTGAATCTACAGGAAGAGGAATTATTCTCAGCGTTATAGATCATAAACCGACATTAATAAGAGTAATGTGTGTGTTTCTCACTGGCATTCTCTCTGAGGCTCCTCCGATCTTGAAGTTCATGGTTGATCTGACCGTCTGAGCGCCATAATATTTATCAGAAGGGACTCTGAGCTCCCCGAACGTGTCGCTCTCGATCCTGAACGACTCTGAGCTGGCCTGAGACCACAAAACATACATCATATTCATATCTGACATCTGTGTCCCTGCAGCACAAAAGCAGTGTTAAGTCGCTGGGGTATATTTGTAGCAATAGCCAACAATACATTGTATGGGTCAAAATTATCAATTTTTCTGTTATGCCAAAAATCATTAGGATATTAAGTAAAGATCATGTTCCATGAAGATATTTTGTAAATTTCCTACCATAAATATATCAAAACTTAATTTGTGATTAGTAATATGCATTGCTAAGAACTTCATTTGGACAACTTTAAAGATGATTTTCTCAATATTTAGATTTTTTTGCACCCTCAGATTCCAGATTTTCAAATAGTTGTATCTCAGTCAAATATTGTCCTATCCTAACAAACCATACATCAATGGAAAGATTATTTATTCAGCTTTCAGATGATGTATACATTTCAATTTTAAAAAATTGACCCTTATGACTGGTTTTGTGGTCCAAGGTCACAAATACTACTTTTGGCAGTATTAAACCCTTATGACTGGTCAGAAACTAATACTCGTGTTTCTAAATCGCTGTAAGTCACACTTTCACCCCTCAGAAAAACAATCAAGCTGTATTTAAGCGCCAATACACACACATAATGTTATGAAATACATATATGAATGATACTAATTCAGAGGCGTGTGGTTTCTGAGGGCTTCAGAAGAGCGTTATTAAACATGAAGGTCATCCACCGGCTAACAGCGCACTAAACACCGCAGAAACAACGAGATTTTACCATTCTGAGCGGCCTGAGCTGGAGCCCCGGCGCTGGGCAGATGTACCGGAGGCTGCTGGATCTCTGCGCGGCCCACAGCTTCGACAGATCCGCGCTGAAGCGCTGCAGGTTCCGTGCGGAGCGATGCATAGCGACCGGAGGCGGAACTAGTTTCTCACCAACCAGGGACGAGAATCAGGGGGCGGACACTTATTAGTGAAACACAACACGTCTGTTGTTACAGGAGGGACACAATTACCGGCGACACGCGAGAAATTAAAACAAAATGAGCGCTTTTAGTGACCCGAAGCTTGTCTCTCATTTGTCAGATATTACGTATCAAAATAATTATTTATTATGTTTCGCTAAAGGACTTTAGTTGTGGAGTTCAGAACGCAGCTGTTACTTTTCTCAACGCTTTTCAGGATTGACCAATCACAGCCGACTGTTGATATTACTGGATTTTTCATAACGGTCCTTTTTTTTTAAATTGAGATTTATGCATCATCTGAATAAAACTGAATAAATAATCTTTCCATTGATGTATGGTTTGTTAGGATAGGACAATATTTGGTTGAGATACAAATATTTGAAAATCTGGAATCTGAGGGTGCAAAAAAATCTAAATATTGAGAAAATCATCTTTAAAGTTGTCCAAATGAAGTTCTTAGCAATGCATATTACTAATCAAAAATTAAGTTTTGATATATTTACGGTAGGAAACTTACAAAATATCTTCATGGAACATGATCTTTACTTAATATCCTAATGATTTTTAGCATGAAAGAAAAATTGACAATTTTGACCCATACAGTGTATTGTTGGCTGTTGCTACAAATATACCTGTGCTACTTAAGACTGGTTTCATGCTCCAGGGTCACATATGAGACCATAGTTTATCAGACACACCTATAAACAACAAAGCACAGCTGCGGTTTGTGCATGTAATGCTGTGTGTGTCGTACCATCGACAGAGAGCCAGGCTCCTCCAGGAACTGCTTCAGACTCAGACTCTTCTTCCCGTTCACCTGAAGGTGTGTGCAGATCCTCCTCAGCACGTCGTACACACTGTCCCGCGACAGCAGAGACACAAACACATACTGCCAACAAGAAACACACACTAATAAGTCACAAGTGGTCAGACATTAAAATGAAATGTGGAGACATCGTTTGATGAATATTAATACATACATTACAATTATATTTATAGTTGCTTTATATTTATACATGGAGACATCCTTTGGTGATTGTTCATAATTTAACAATTTATTAAAGCAATAAGCCCCAAGAAGTCGTGGTTTACAGTGAATTTATTTTTGTGCTCCAGGGTCACAAACATAACCTATATTAATAATATAATATAATATAATAATAATATTATATATTTTCATTTATCATCACTAACTGCTGTGCCAGATTTCTGCGCTAATCGCTGACATCAACAGACTTAACGTATTATTCTTTATAGTAAACAAATGTCTCTAATAAGACTGAAATCAAACTGATTATAAAGCGGCTAAAAAGATAATGGAGTTTTCTGAGCCACGCGCGCCCCCTGGCGGAACTGACCGGTGCTTGCACAGACTCATTATTATTACATTGAATATTTTTTACAGTTCTTGCCAAACGACGTACATTAAATTTGATCAGTAATTATTATTGAGACAATTTCGTGATTTTCGTGATTTTTGACTATTCAAAGATTTTTGTTTTTTCTATGCCCATCAAATCAAAACATAGTAATTATAGTTTACCAAAACTGACAGTAGCGGATTAAATTGATTATTATTGAATCATTTTTTTAAAATCACTTCACTGCTCCGTATTTGTCTATTATTATAATCATTATTATTATCATTATTATTATTATTATTATTATTATATGCACAGGCCTACGTTATTTCTACATTTCCACAGCGCATCCACCAGATGGTGACAACATTCAACAAATGAAATCCAGAATCCAAATGCTTTTGGACAAGAAAACAAAATGTTTTTGGCAACGTTTTCTTGCAGTTATGAACAAACGTTCTTCCGGTAGCGTTAATAGAACGTTCATTTAGTTAAGCCCTCTGGTCTTTAATAATGATCTCAAAACGTTAGCACAAAAACATTATTTATGAAACTTTTGTTTTAGCTGGATATTCGTCTAACGGTGTTTTAAATGTTACACGTGCTTCAGAACGTTTAGAGAACATTCAAATGTAACACTCCCCTAAATGATCAAATGGAATGTTCATTTAACGTTCACGTCACCAAGAAAAACGCTTTAGTTAAAACGTTCTCTGAACATTTTTGTGAGCTGGGAAGATTCCACAATCAGTGTAAATGTGCTGTTCATGTTTGACTAATAAAGGCATCTCTTATGTTCTGGAGTGTGGTTTTTATCATCACATTTTTAGGCCCAAAAGAGCAAAAAAACCGCCCCTGAACGCTTGTTGATTATTGTGTGTGTGTGTGTGTGTGTGAGTGTGTGTGTGTGTGTGTGTGTGAGTGTGTGTGTGTGTGTGTGTGAGAGTGTGTGTGTGTGTGTGTGTGTTCTGTCAGCACAGCAGTTGTTTGAGATGATGTGAATCTGAATGATGATCAGTGTTCCTGTCACACATCATTATCTGCTTCCTACTCGCTTTTCAGCTCTATTGGACTCTAATCAGCTGCTAATTGAAACTAACTGTGATCAATAGCGCCGAACGACTCTGATTAGAAGTGATCAGATCGGACTTCTCTCATCAAATGACTGTAAATGACGAAATGACAGTCAGTGCTACTGGAAAAGTGAAGAGCTGTGCTCGAATGAAGCGGTTTCACCTGCTGTAAGCTGACAGTAACGAGGAAAAGAGGGAAGTTCGTCATTATTGATGCGTTTAATCAAGCATTCCGTGTCAGGAGCGCTTCTCAAGGCCATTATTCTCTCTTTGCGGTGTGAATGTGATGGTCTCGACACGAGGCGCCACGACTGACAGCAGATCAATTAACTGCAATGATTGGCAAAGCGCAAATATTAGCTGTTCCCAGATCAGCCTTTCATGTGTGACACGGCTTCATCTGCTGATAAACGCGCAGCTGATGTTAGTCGGGTTTCTCTGAGAAAGATCTGCAGAGCTTCAGTGACTGTGATGAGTGTCTCATTCATTACAATCCACTTCATTCTATGATAACTAAATACAAGATTATATTCTATTTATTATTTTAGTAAAGACATTGTCTTTCAAATCAAAGACATTACTACTCGTTATAATATTTCGTGATTTTATTTTTATTAATCCATTGCACAAAACAGCATAAAAAATAAAATCACAAAATCTTTACAACAAATAATTTCTAACATAGACGAATAACCGGAATACAATCAGAATAAAGTCAGAACATCTTTGTTGTTATCCGTTTAATTTCTATTGATTTGATTCATTATTCATTTCTATAATTAATTCTATTAATTTCTATAATTTCAACTCGATTTTTCATCAGTAGTAATTAAATACAGTTTACTGAATTTCATTTTAATTAAAAATTTTAGCAATTAAACTTAATGTTTTAATTTTAACGGGTTTATAATTAGGCCTATTTTTTATTTTTATTAATCCATTGCACAAAACAGCATAAAAATAAAATCACAAAATATTTACTACAAATAATTTCTAACAGAGACGAATAACCGGAATACAATCAGAATAAAGTCATCTTTGTTTTTATCCATTTGATTTCTATTGATTTTATTCATTATTCATTTCTATAATTAATTCTATTAATTTCTATAATTTCAACTTTCATCAGTAGTAATTAAATACAGTTTACTGAATTTCATTTTAATTAAAATTTGTAGCAATTTAACTTAATGTTTTTATTTTAACGGGTTTATAATGATGACTTTTTTTATTAACAATGTCATGAAAGGCCATTAAATTGGGCTTTTGGTTTAGTAATGAGGCTTAAATGAAAGTAAGATTGAATCATGCAGCTTCACGAGTGTGTGTTTAATCCAGGTGCATCCTGACTTTCCTCCTCCTCAGGTTTCTTCTGTCTTCTCCTTCATCTCATTCTTCTCGGAGAGCCAATCAGAGCTCGCGTACCTGCAGGAAGTTTGACCCGTTATTCTCCTCCCTCATAAAACATCATGCCCTCCCTCACTAGTGACCTCCCGCTTTCGCTCATCGCAACCTGACGAACTGCATGGAAGCAGAAGTCACAGGATTGTTCTCCAGCCATGCAGTTCCAGCCCTCGCACGCTCCTCTTTATGCGCCGACGCCCGCGCCGCCCGCTCACCCGACGCCCTTCTACATCGAGGACATTCTGGGCAGAAACGCGTCCGCGCCTGGCCCGGTGGCGCCCACGCCGACCCTGCCGTCTCCAAACTCGTCGTTCACCAGCCTGATCCCGTCTTACCGGACCCCGATCTACGAGCCCACGCCGATCCACCCGGTTCTGACCCAGCAGGCGCTCGCTTACGCGTCCATCTACCCGTTCCAGCGAGACTTTACGCACGCGCTGATCCGCCACGACCCGCTGGGTGAGAGCCAGACTCATTTCTGTCCTGTTTCGATCTAAACCAGAACTGGTGAAGAGCCCGCTCTCATGAAAATGCGTATCAATAGGACAATTTTCAATGTATATTTGGCGTCCTATTTTATACGCATGTGTGCATATGATACGCACCTACCCCACACCCCTAATCCTAAGCACTGCGTTTCATATGCACGCCAAAGTCAATTTCTGCGTATAAATAGCACGCCAAATAGTAGCAGAAACTCGTGCTACTGACACGCACTTTACCCTAGCAAGCTCTGTCGCTGCATGCGGCGCTACTTTTACAAAAGTTACACTTTTGTACCTTTTTACCTTTCTACACTCTTAAAAATAAAGGTTCTTTATTGGCATCAATGGCTCTATGAAGAACATTGAACATCCGTGGAACCTTTCAAATGCAGAAAAAGTTGAAAACATTCAAGTTTATAGTCGAAAAAGTTCTTTACATTTTGTAAATGCTCTTCAAAACGGTTCTTTTAGGAACTGTTCACTGAAAGGTTCTTTTGCGAACCAAAAATGGTTCTTCTATGGCATCACTGAAAAAAACACCTTTTTGGAACCTTTATTTTGAAGAGTGTAAAGGGTGCATATTAGTGTCTAAAATGCTAAATTGGTAGCTTTTAAGATTACTGCCTTGCATGGTGATAGAGAGTGGTTGACGCTTTCTTTCAGTAGCCTATTAAAAATCTGACTCCACGTTAACTGAATCTGGTCAAAATGATGTAACGTTACTGAAACAACCTAAATGCGTTCATTTGTACCCACAAAACTCGTTTTTATGGTTTAAGTCGGATTGAAATATGTGTGCGTAAAAGTGAAACCCGACGTGCATTTAAATTGTGAAATTGTGCCTAAAAGTTGGTGTGATTTGGACATAGAAAGCTGGGCTTCGTGAGGTGTGTTTACCAACAGCTCGTGTGGTTAATAGTATAAACCAGACTGACCTGAAGAGGAAGCTCTTCTTGATTTCGAAACTGCAGTTCAAAGCGCGTTTCTGTGACCCTGCTGCTGGAAACGAGCGTGACTTCGGATCGTGCTCCAGATGTTGAGCTCTCAGCGTGTTTGGGTGAGGAAGACTCCGCTGGTCTTCCTCGCGTGTTGTCGGTCTGAGGTTCAAACTGCCTGAGCTCAGCAAGCCCTGAGCCTTTCCGTTCACTCCGGAAATCTTGAGCTCTCGATAGGAGTAAATGTGCTTTCAGAAGCTGAGATGTTTTCCTGGAGCAGGACTCGTGCGCGCTGCTGATTATTTTATCCACATCCTCAATACACACATATTCAGGAAACACTCGGCTTCTGATAGCCGGGGTCCGTTTTTTTACAGATTGTTCGTTTCCTTTCATTGGGCTGAACCTTCATAACTGCTAAAACTCAAACACACCTCACGGAACTTAGTAGTGACTCTATACGCACGCTTGCTTTTTAAAACAAAACAAATGCCTATAGAAATTTGAGATCAGTTTTATTATTGCAAATATGATTTGTATTAACATGGCCTACACTAAACAGATGATAGCTCTATATCATCTAAATAAATACATTTGTATTTAATATATACTCATATCTTTATTAATGCCTTAAAAAGTCTAAATGAGATAACACAATCCTGCCAAGTTTATTACACCATTTGAATTTCATTACTCTTAATTAAAATAGTTTTATGAATCGCAAGGCTAATTGAGAATATGTTATAGGTGTTGTACACAAAATATATAAAGTTTTTTTCTTTAAATGTGACACATGTGAATGTATTTTCTTGAACTATGAAATATATGGAGGACAGAATATATTCCCAAATGCTTTTTAAAAATAGAATTATATTTTTAAAATATATTTTCAGAAAATGGCCAAAAATAAATGGGTAGAAAATAAATTATTCGTTATGCGTAATACATAAACATATATGTTTTTGGCCATATATATATATATATATATGGCCAAAAACATATATTTATGTTTTTATTTTATTTCATTTTTGCGCTGCTATATATATATATATATATATCTGTTATTCTTAAAATAATATTTATTATTTAATTATTATTTTTATGCTCTAAAATACTTCTACGACATAGGATTGCATATTTAAATATTTTAATAATTATCTCATTTTCTGAATATTCTTCATCTTTTTTTTAATAGATAGAAAAAAAGATTTACATTTTAAAAACATTTAAAAACGGATCATTTCCTACAGGTCTCAGCACGTGATTAATCGGGTGTTTACAGGCGGGATGAATCAAGTTTCCTCTGTGTTTGTGAGGGGACTGGACGGATGTTCACCCCATTCACCAGATTAACCAACAGGAAACACATTGACGGAAATTTTGCCAGAGTCCTTCTGCTCATAAACTCCAGCTTTCAGCGGATGCTCGAGCTGACAGACAGACAAACCAAACACGTTATTCACCTTCAGTCTGAAGACCTGCAGGAGTCAAACTCGCTCTTTATACGCGCGTTTATTCTTGACGTGATCATAACGTGTGTGCACTATGCAGAAATTGACTTTGGCGTGCATATGATACGCAGTTTTTACGTGCATATGATACGCATCTACCCCACAACCCTACCCATTGCGTATCATATGCACGCGAAAGTTCACTTCTGCATATAAATAGTACGCCAAATCAAAACATAAATTCGTGCAATTGATACGCACTTATTCATGTGTTTTACAGGTAAACCTCTGCTGTGGACGCCGTTCATCCAGCGTCCTATGCACAAGAGGAAAGGCGGACAGGTTCGCTTCTCCAACGACCAGACCCTCGAGCTGGAGAAGAAGTTCGAGACCCAGAAGTATCTGTCTCCTCCCGAGAGAAAGAGACTCGCTAAGATGCTGCAGCTCAGCGAGAGACAGGCGAGTCAACAAGACAACACGAGCTGCACTTTCACTCATCTGTTCCACAGCCAAACATGCTTTAGTCTGTGTGTCTTCTGCAGGTGAAAACCTGGTTCCAGAACCGGCGGGCGAAATGGAGGCGATTGAAACAGGTGAGAATCTGCTCTTAATGCACACACAAAGAGTTTATTTTATTATCGTACACTCTAAAAAATGCTGGGTTAAATACAACCCAGCGCTGGGTAAAATATGGACAAACCCAGCGATTGGGTTAATGCCTAGAAGGTTGGGTTAAACATTTAACCCAATAGTTGGTTGAAAACAACCCAATCGCTGGGTTTGTCCATATCTTTCCCAGCGCTGGGTTGTATTTAACCCAGCATTTTTTAGAGTGTAATAATTATACGGAATCCTAGGCTATGATAACTATCCTAAATAATAATCAGAATTGCTGACGTTTCGTTTTAACATTTACAGCAAACACAAACACAACTAACAACCAAAACACGGATCATGAACGAAAAGAAAAATGCACGGTACAAATAAATATATTTTATATATATGAAGGTTTCCCACTTTTAAAGTGACTTTAATCTTAAGAAAAGCAGGTTTTTATTGTTGTACTATTTTATTTTGTTATTTTATTACACTACAAATGATTTTTCGAAGTTAAATTGAGATTAGCTTACTGGAGCGCGTTTTACAAGAAAATACTATTTCGGTCTTTAACAAAATGTCACGTTTAATGCGCCGTTTCTTTGTTTTTGTGAAATTTACTTGCGATTTCTGGGTGAAAATTGTTTCTACACCTAGCCTATTTATTTATTGTTATTTAATTACCCTGTTCGTTCGTTTTGATCGCTGCTTTATAACAGCGCAATAAATAAATAATTCGTAAAAAAAAATAAAACGGAATAAAATGTATACAAAATATAAATACGAAATAAAGTTTACAACTATTTTTTTTATTTTAATGCAGTAAAATAATTGTACTGTATCATGTTTTCTACTATCTTTAAAGAAACATGTATTTAAATAGGCCTATTTTAATTATTATCGAATTTCCTGAATATTAAATTCTAAATCTGAACAACAGGCCTAGAATAGGCTATAATATTAATATAGCCTAAAGTTTATAATTCCTACACTGAAAAAAATGCTACTAAATTTTTTTAAGGTAAGTGGTCACAAACAATTTATTTTAGTTACATTTCATTAAAAAAAAATATGCTGAAAGTTAGTCAAATAAATTTGTTTATTTAAATGTAGCTAAAATAAATTGATTGCAACCACTTACCTTAAAAAAAAAAAAGTAAATTCAATGAATGATTTTTTTTCAGTGTAAGGAGCATGAGAGAGTTTATTGCTCAGTAACACATTTTTCATTTCATAAATGTGACCCTGGACAACAAAACCAGTCATAAGGGTCAATTTTTTGAAATTGAGAAAAAAAAATATGCTGAAAGTTAGTCAAATAAATTTGTTTATTTAAATGTAGCTAAAATAAATTGATTGCAACCACTTACCTTAAAAAAAAAAAAGTAAATTCAATGAATCATTTTTTTTCAGTGTAGAAAATCTCTATAATATTTATAATCTCTTTTTTTTTTTTTTCAAAGACGGCAAATGAATAAATAAATAAATGCCGCTAAATGAAAAGCTCCAAACAACATGTGATATTGACATGCTTGTGTGATGTTGCTGAAACAGGAGAATCCTCCGAGCGGTAAGAGAGATGTGGAGGACTCGGTCGAGCAGAGAAACTCGGACAGATCGAGTCCAGGCGAGTCTGAGGATTCAGATCAAGAGCTGGACATCGAGGAGGACCCACACTTCTCCATCAACCCTCAGCTATGAGTCCATCATCTCAGCACTGTACATACTGTATCATACTGTACATTTAGTAGCACAATTAACTTAATGGATGTGTAGATTTCGATCCAAACCTGTATCTGGTGTCTCGTGGAAAATATTTTGTGTTAGTCAATAAATATTTTGGGGATAAGGTTTCTGTTTAATTTGCCTTTTTAATGCATAATTATGCAAAATTCATATTTCTAAAAGATGAAGGTTAAATGAGAACCTTAAATGGTTTCAAAGTGCATGATTTGAGCTGTTATCTGCTTACACACATTTTCAAAACTTCACACACAAATGCAAGAACTGCACACAAAATGCAAAAAGCCTCGCATCTCTTGCAAAACGAAGCACTGCATTCAAAATATCACAAACACATCTCAAAAGCGAAAAAGCATTATCTGTGGATCATTTTCAGTCAATAAGCTCAGATCAAAGAGGCCTATGACCAATCAGTTCCATTTGTGATAACATAGCATAAGGAGAGATTTACAAGCAATTTTAAAAAAAGGACTGTCATTTTAAATAAAGTGAAAAAAGGAACTATTTGTAAATAATTTTGGCGATATTCACCCAATAACCTGCATGGTGCATGAGCTCAGATTAATGAGGCACTCAAGCAGCTCCATAAAGAAACAAAAAAAACCTGTGCTAATTGAAAGAAAACTTTAGAAAGAGATCGAATCCAAGATTTGGTGATAATAGAGCATGACAAGAAATGTATAAGCAGTTTTTTGTAGGTCGGTCATTTTTGACCAGGACAAGGATTTTCAGTCAGGCTCAAAAGCTTTTCTGATTAATAAAGAACGTATGGAGGCTTTTCTTGTAGTTTTTGAAGAAACTCTAAATCTGAGACAAAAGTTACAGTTCAATAAAACAAAACTGATATCTCTATTAAGTCTCTTGAGCTAGAACAGAGAAAATATTCAAATGTGTTTTGCTAACATTCTCATTCAATTATGAAAATATTATTTCTCTATTTGTTCTCTGAAACATGTTTTTTCTTTAAATGTTTTTTCTTGATTTTGCGAATGTTAAAGAAACATTCCATTTCGCAGACATTAGGGGAACGTTACATTTGAATGCTGTCTGATGTTAAACAGTAACATTTAAAATTGTTACATTAGACAAAAGTCTAACTTTTTCGAAAAATGTAACATTCTGAGAACATCATCACAGACCAGATCACTCTGACCGAACGTTCCATTAACACTTCTGTTTATAACTGACAACGTTACATGGGTTAATGCTAATATATGTGACGCTGCAGCACAAAAGCAGTGTTAAGTCGCTGGGGTATATTTGTAGCAATAGCCAACAATACATTGTATGGCTCAAAATTATACATTTTTCTTTTATGCCAAAAATCATTAGGATATTAAGTAAAGATCATGTTCCATGAAGATATTTAGTAAATTTCCTACCGTAAATATATCAAAACTTAATTTTTGATTAGTAATATGCATTGATAAGAGCTTCATTTGGACAACTTTAAAGATGATTTTCTCAATATTTAGATTTTTTTGCACCCTCAGATTCCAGATTTTCAAATAGCTGTATCTCTGCCAAATATTGTCCTATCCTAACAAACCATACATCAATGGAAAACGTATTTATTCAGCTTTCAAATGATGCATAAATCTCAATTTCAAAAAATTGACCCTTATGACTGGTTTTGTGCTCCAGGGTCACATATCACTCACTTCCAAACTCGTTCTGTTGGGCAAAAAGCGGCCTATCCTCACGAAACCCCCCTGACTGAGTATTTATGATCTGGTGCTGTGCTCACGTTTACAGAAGTCATTATTTTACAGCGCAGACAGTGAAGCAGAAAGTCTGACGGCGATATAAAAGCTCCATCTCCAGCTGAATTAGGCCTAATTGAAGAGCAAACAGCACACTTGAGTGAACAATGAGGCCTGAGTGATATGTTCCTGGGCTGCCGGAGGAATCTCGTCCTCACCTGAAGGCCGCGAGCGCTGCTTGTTATGAACAGAGAGGGTCTCTTTGACGACAAATGCTCAAATATTGACCCGTCAGCCCAAGATACGTCCAGTGGCTCTGATAGTTTAATTGACAACAACTCTTGCTTCATCAGATCAATTAGCATGGCTCTTTCAGGCCTGTTAGCTGTGTGTTTAAAACTCCAATCAGTCTTTTCCATGATGGCAGAGATTCTGGCCTCTTAATGGCTTGTTTGTTCCTCTTTGCTCGGGCAAACCTACAGATTGCTTTTATGTGCGGCCGTGAACGAGCTTGTGAGACACGGCCTGATTTATTCATCCTGTGACTTAATGATACGTGATAACAAGGCTTCCATTAAAGATTCTGGATGCAGTGATTAGGCCTTTCCAAAGCAATTAGACTCTTCCTCTCAGCGTTTACAGACAGAACAGTGAGTGAGCGTTTACTAAGGAAACATTCATCTGTTCTGCCTTTGATCAGCTCTAATATCAACTCTAATGAAGATCATCTCACTGCAGGACTGGACACTGAAATGAGTCTGTAAACACAAGCATAATCATTGCAAGGTAGATAAGTCAGCCAGAACATGCGTTTTCACTGAGCAGACACTCACTATCAATCCAACTAACATTGTGGCAAGGTTTCAAACATAAGTTCTTCCAGTAACTTTTTATAGAACATTGGTTCAAAGTTATCTGGTCTTTAATAATATTGACAAAACACACACACACACACACACACATAAAAAAATAAAATAATAATAATAATATTTATATACATCATTAATGGGACTTTTTTTTCTGAAACATTTTAGTCACATATGGCAAAAAAAAAAAAAAAAAAACATTTTCTAATATACTTTTAAATGTATTTCAGAATATACAAAAAGAGCCAAAAAATATTCTAAATCTGTCTAAACAGACTACTGTAAGATTGTAAATGTATGTTTTTGCCCCTGAAATACATTTTGAAATATATTTTGGTATATGATGGCTAAAATTTCAAAAATATTTCATTTAACTTTATTGCTTGCAACATATATTTAACATATATTTAAAATATATTTTGGCCAGAAAAATAATTTTTTTTTTTGCCATGTGTGGTTGGATGTTCATGTGATATTTTTAAATGTTACTGCTTGTTTCAGAACATTCAACAGGAACATTCCCATAATGTTTGCAAAATGATAAAATGGAATGTTCCCTTAATGTTTGCATAACTGTTTTATAAATGGGACATTTTCAACATTCAGAGAACATTCAGAAACAATGTTTTTAAAACTTAATGGGAACATTATCAAAAAGTTCTTAGAATGTGTTTTTTATCAGCAAGTAGTCTCTGATCAGTGTTCATTTAGCTGAGCAAACGTGTGTGTGTGTGTGTGTGTGTGTGAGAGAGAGAGAGAGACCTACCCGATACTTTATCTTCAACTTTTTTATTGTTTCCTTCATATTGAAAATAAATGCCTTTCTGATGTGATATGAGATTTGAAAAGGAAGAAAAAAAGTTCGGTAAAAGGCGGATTCGAACTCGGGTCGATCGCATCAAAAAGACCACAGTGCACGCTTTACCATCTACACCACTGAAGCTGATGATTTACTGCCGTCTTTTATAGTGTTGACTATCCCTATAACACATTTGTGGGTGGAGCTACTGTAAATAGCCTCTATCAAGATAAATGTTGTCCATGTGCTCAAGGTCAAGCGTCACACACGTGTTCACACACACACACACACACACACACTCACACTCACACACACACACACACACACACACACACACAGGCGCTGATGGAACGCAGTGACAGCTTGACACTTATCTCAGGTGTGTGTCGGCATACAGATGAAAACATGATCATGAGCTCAGCAGATCAGGCCGTATTGATCAGCGGGAGTTTTATGAGTTCAGTGATCCAGACGAGCTCAATAAACACACACCACTGTAAACGCAACCAGATTCAGAACACGGCCGTGTGTGTCCAAGAACACCATCTGTTTGCGTTACGGACAGAGTCAACAGTGCAAAAGAGACAGAAGTACAAAAACACTCAACAGCTGAAACCATCGATAAAACATGATAAAAAAAATGCAAAAAAACACTATAAATATGCTTCTCATTCAAATCTGAAGAGTATTCAGATGAACTTAAAATATTGACACTAATTAAAGATATAAAAGTAATTGTATAAACTCTATGTTTTATATTAGGGTATATTCTGTGACATTCTGTTCATTTTATTTAAAATCTGAAAAGTATTAATAAAAACACTGAAACTAATTGAAGATGCAATAGCAAGTATATAAACTATGTTTTTTAATGTTTATTAGGGTATAGGCCTATATCATAAGACGCTCACGTGAAGGTGCAAGAAGAATAAAAAAAAATAAAATAAA